TTTACAAAAGGAATGTGTTAGAAACCATAAGCCAAGAGGCCAGATGTATTTCTGAAATGTGACTCAGCACTAAGCTTGTGAATGATAAGAGTGTCTCATCATCTACAGGCACCTGAAGACAGTCCTCCAGTAAAACAAAACTACTTAAAGCATCAGACAGGGGTAGGGAGGACTATAAATGCTTTATCCACTTAAAGATAATTTATTCTCAATTGAACCCTTGCCAGGGGATAGAGATGAATAATTTTAAGTCTTAGTTAAGTGTCATAGGACTTTTAATGACCATTTGATATCAAAGGCAGCGATTCCAGAAGTAGACTGCTTGCTCTACAACCATGTCAGGGCAATGGCTGAGATACATATTTCTTCATTGAAATAGTGCTTACTTGGCTTTTGACATCAATTCCATGAATACTAGATTTTTTTTAGAAGCTCTCTTAATAAATGAGAATTGAAGAAAATAGCTAATTTTAAATTCAAGGACTTCAAGCTTAGCTTTATATATGTAACCTAGTTGGGGAGAAAAAACTTCCCCATGAATCTTCTTCCCTAACCACTAAGTGTGGAAAGACAGCTTGGAAGTCAGCTATAGCTATGAGAAGAAGAAGAATGAACATGCAGATGTGTGTGGTGTTCAGATGCCAGACAGTACTCTAAGTGCTTTTTAAGGCTCCTAATTCTTTCACTTAATCTTTATAACAACCCTATAAAGTAGTTACCACTATTATCACTGATTTATAGATGAGGAAACAAGCACAGAGAGGTGAGGTAACTTGCCCAAGGCCAACACAGCTGTTAAGTGGTGGACCCAGAAATCAAAGCCAGGTACTGGAATGTAGAATGTGTGCTTTTAACCACTGGCTCTCCTTGGCCACTCCACGCCATACCAGAGAACCTATGGGGTTACATTCAGTAACGCCAAAGACTGTTCATCAATCTAGCAGGGTTTTATACTCGTAAATATATATAATTTGCATCTATAGAATTATATTCTACTAGAATTCCTTTTATGTTAATACAAGGCTAATAAACCCTTAGGTTTTCCAAAACTTTTTTCTCTTACCAAGATCTCTCTTTGATTGATTTGATTATCACTAGCATCAGCATTAAAGGAATCTCAGATTATTTGGTCCAATTCATTCACTTGGAATCTTTGAAACAATTTGTCTTACAAGGGTAAAAATTCACAAACACAACTGAGAAGTATTGATGATTCAGTAAAAACTAATCAACTAAGAAATACTGATTAAACACATACTATATTTTTAAAAAACAGAATGGAAGGCATAATAAGGATTACAGAGACACATAAGTAAGTTCTTAGTATTTTTGCAATGTATTTCAAAACAGGTGAGAAGTTACCTACAGAAATGGAGTAGGGCATAATGAGAAAATAAATGTCCATGTAAAATGTCCCCAGTTGCAGAAAAATAAATATTTTGTTTCTACCTCACTCCCTACTGCTACCACCATGGAAACGTTTTGTGACAAGCTTCCTTCTAACAACCAGAATACAAGACCAAAGTGCATTTTATATGAACATTCTAGAGGAAAATTTCTACACACTGTACTATGATCTTCTGTTCAATTTACCTGTAAATATTACAGATGAAGCTAGGGAGAAATTTCTGTAATTAGTGATAATGCCTCATTTTTCTAAAGTTATTCAATAAACATTTATTGAATGCATTTTTTGTAATAGGCACGTTTTGTTTTTGAAGTATCAATATAACTTAGAAGAATCTCTAAATGATCATTATTTAAAATACATCTTCTTCTAAATGCAAAGCTTCTAAGTAACCATTTACAGTGTCAACTCAAGACCTTGTAAAGAGGAATAAAGAACGTCCAGTACGGTTTAGGTGATCTTAGTGATATCACATTGGCCTCAATTCTGACTCCTGCTTTAGGCTAATACTGGCCACTGCTTAGCTCACCCTCAGAAGCTGGTTGGTGCTAACTTCTGTACCCAATCAAACAGGGAACTATATTCAATTTCTTGTTATGAGCTGTAATGAAAAAGAATCTGAAAATATATATGTATATATGTATATGTATAACTGAATCGTTTTGCTATTAACACCTGAAACTAACATTGTGAATCGACTACACTTCAACTAAAATATAAGAAAAAAAAAAAAACAGCTAACAGTTATTAAGTGCTTACAGGTATTATCTCATTTAATATATCCACCACCCCATGAGACAGTTACTATTATCCTACTCATGAGGAAATGGAAGTACAAAGAGATTAAATAACCTTCAGAAGCACAGATAAAAGCCCAAATGTAAGCCC